TTAACTTATTGTCGCCACCTAGTTTTGCATTATATTGATAGAATTAGTGTACTAGATGTACTGTAGATGGAATTGTTGCTAGAAATGCAGTCAATTTACCAATTTCAACTTCCATCACTAGATGTAACCTCAACAAATCCTCTAGGAGGTGCTTGTGTGAGTTAGATCGGTAATACTCTCCATCTGCCTCTTGATGTTGAGGTAACAGTGAGGGAAATTATATTTTTGTTCCGTCTCGTATGGTGGTTATGTGTTCCCCTTTCACACAGCATTTGCTAATAAAAGACATTTTGATTCTCTATTACATGGTGCCCAATCGTCTCAAACTAAGGCCTCCCTCGGGTCAGTCAGGATTTTCAGGTGCACTTCAGCTCACTTGCGCCACTAATGGGAGCCGCAGATTAACACGATCCAAGGTCCTTAGCAGCTATGCAGTCACTGCCAAACTGCACATCAAGATAATGAGGGAAAAGTCATCCCTGTCATTCCCTTGTCATAGCTAGAAGAGTAATATGTCATTTATGTTAATGTGAATGCACCCCAAAGGACAGAATATTAATTGACCTAACCTTAAACCTATCCAGCTGGAGGTTCTGGTCCACCAGTGGCCCATAAAATGAAACTATTTGGGGATTTATTGAATATGGAAAAAACTTTTTAATATGCATCACGTCATTTATTTTGTTTCTGTTTTCAAATTTGAAATTGAGCAATACCATCTGTATCCTAATTTATCCCCCATCAGTATTTTTCCAGATTTCGTTGTCTTTAAAAATGGTGATAGTTATACTGCGTCTGACCTTACCTGTTGTCCTGCACTTGGCTGCACTCTACCCTCAAAGTATGAAGGTGGTGTCACTGTAATCTCTCCGTGTCAAGGGAGTGTGACACTTTAATCTTCCCGTGTACACTCATACTCATCTGCAAGGTCAGCAAAAAGCTGACCTAGTTATTGGCTGTTCAACTCCTGCAGCAACCCGCATCATTCCTTTTTAGTTAGTAACCCAAAACCAGGTGTGTATCGTTTGGCAAGAGACTGTTCAAAACAGTACAAGGTCATCCATCTCTAGAAGTAAGGACATTAACATTCATGTAACACATTTATTTAGTGGCTCGTAAATTAAGGTCATCTTCTTGGCTGCAGATATTTTTAAGCTTCAGATATAAAAGTATGTTGGCCATTTTATTTTTAGTGAAATCAGAATGTGAACAAAACCAGGGAACACTACTCTGTAATAACTCTGGGATTGCTTTGCTTTCACAGTGAAGGCCTGGACATGTTATTGACTACTCTACAATCATGTTATTATGACTTAAGATCTTTGAAATGTCATTTCTGTCTGTAGAAAAATCTAAAATATCGATACAGAATGAGCTTTTTTAATCTACAAACCTTTAGGTGGCAGATCTTCAAGGAAGAGCAGGTCCAATTAACTGTTTTCATAGAACATGGGTTTAGTGCAGGTGCTAGTGAATACATTTATTTATTTACGTTTTCCGCACTCTCGCGGGAATATCTCCGCAATGGAGCAAGCTTAAGTTTCACTTTCGATTGCATGATTTAGCCAGGCGCAACACCTTCGTCACACATGTTGCCACTTGTTTGCACCATTTTCAGGCGATTTGTAATCTGTTCTAGAAAAAAAAAAAGTGTTTTTTAGGATTTCAAGAAGCATATGAAACAAACAATGGATAAAAGTCTTAAGTGGAGAAACACTGCGCTACTGGATCGTCAACGGGGGGAGCCTCGCTGCGGGGACATTCTACAGATGGCCAATCCGCCCCTGAAAAATGTCTAAGCACACGTTATAATAATAAAAGAAAAATGATAAAAAAAATTGATTACATTTTTTTATTTTGTAATCATCTCGCGACCCCCACTCGGGCTCGCGACCCCCACTTTGGGAACCCCTGGTTTAGTAGACCTTATAGTTGAATTGTAGGGCCAACTTATTGGCCTCACACTCAGACCTCACACATCACTTTGATACTGTCTACCCACGAAGCAAACTATTTCCTGCTGGTGGAGAATGAAAAAGCAGCGATGAATACCTAAATGGCAGCATAAAGGGATCATATTTACCTCTCTCTTTTCTCTGTTTTTCTATCTTTATGTGCTTTCTTTCTGTCTAAGTCCCGAGTACCAAACACGACACTTCTCTGTGCCCCCCCAGCACCCCCCAGCAGCAGAAATGAGGCCTACTGTCGACCTCCTCGCTGACACACAGCAGTCCATTCCTTTTGTAACGGCTGTAGGCTTCACAACGGGCCAAGAAGCTGACAGAAACAAAACACACAGTTGACCCAGACCCAGACCCAGACACTTTTTCTTCCACAGCTGTGCAAATAAATGTAAAATAATATCTCAGGAAATGTAATCTTGTAATTGTTTTGGATTCCAACCCAGCAGACCAAAGCCCCCCCTCTCCCTTTTTCTATGACCAAACCTGTGGCACTGTAAGAAGAAATGGATCGTAATGGCGCATTTCCACTGCAGGGCCTCGCACGGCTTAGTACGGTATAGTTAGGCGTTGGTAGGCCAGGCTCACTTTATGCTGCGTTTCCATTAAAGTTTAGGAACTGGGGTAGTAACTATAGTAACACAGTGTAGGCGGAGCCGTGACGTCATCTTCATGTTCTCTACCGTCCACCAGGCGCCTTGGGGGACTTCTTGGAGGAGTTAGATAATCTCCTCACACACATCCCTGAAACTGGCCCTCCCGCTGTACTTCTCGGAGACTTCACCCTCCAGACAGGGAACATCTCTGTTAACCACCTTTGCTTTCTCACTGTCTCCATCCCCACCAACTCATAAAGCTGGCAATGTCCTTGATCTCATATT